TCTAGTTCTTCATCTATGAATCACATCAGTAGATAGTCACTAGTCTGTCCTGGATTTGGGAATGCCTTGGAAAAAAATATGATCAATTTGCTGTTGCTTCGTTCTTCACTACAGTGTAGTTTCTGTTACATTTGTGCTTGATGTCTAATCCATTTGATGTGGGTGGGCATTAATAAGATTTGAAAGGAGATACTCAATTACAGCCAAAAATAAATCACAGTTACATTTATTGATTGTTAAAAATGTAATTCAGCTGTTTGCAAAGGAGAATGTGCTATATCATTGTAACATGGGAAGGGCTGAGATTTAATGTTCCGGCCCCAAAAAAGCATCTGGTTCAATTCTTTTGCTTTCTGCAACGTTCCTGTCTATCTGAGTGCTTTTTTAGCTCATGATTTCCTACCCTGAATCTTCCCTGAAGGTGAGGCATCTCCACTTGGTCACCACCAAGAGATGAAGTCTTTGTTAAGGAGCTCCAACCACACCAGAATCATAGTGTGTGTGAATGGACCTGGGTGCTGGGCTCTGCTGATCAGAATTAAGCAGCAAGAGGATGCATTTTCAGTTAGGACTGTAGAACATGAACAGTGCTGTTCTTTGGAGCAGACTGATGCTGGCACAAGAGCTGTCAGCAAATCTGTGCCATTCAGGAAAAATTGTGCTTTGGAAATACTCTGCTCACCTTGCTATGGAAGGATGTACTTCTTCGAAGACTTGTAGGGCTTTCAGAGGTACCTATGATTTTTTTGGGTATAGCTTGCCTTTAGGAGACCCAGCAGATCTTTTGTCTCTGTCTTCTGTTCAGCCCAATCTGGCTTCCTGGGCTAGAGCTGAATGGCCCAATGAAGGCAGGAAAACCTCAAAGAGCTCAGCTTGTGTCTGTGATACAAGAGGAGCTTGTGGTCCCTTCCAACATGCTTCCCATGTCCAAGCAAGAAGTTCAAGCTACGGCAGCAGAGGCTTGGTAGGAGCAGGTCTGGGTTTGGTCTCTGTGATGTGCAATGGTGTATGGAAGAAAACAAAACAAGGGAATGGTTGCATTCATGTCACTGTTGCTCTTAGGTGTCGCCAATAATGGATGTCTCCTCTTCCACTTGGACAATGCTCTGTTTCTTCAAGTTTAATGGGTTGCAGAAATCACAGCACCTTGCTACGGGCGTTGCCATTGAAGGCATTTGTTTGTCTTTCAGTGGTTTCCCTTCTGCAATGTCTGTAGCACAATGCCAGGTGTCCACTGGAAACCTTCCTCCCATCTCCTCCCAATTACTCAGCCTAATCCTTGTCAGCCTGCCATCACGCCGAGCAGCCTTGTGAGGCATTAATGTGTTTCGTGGTTGTAGTTAGCTTGCCAGCATCAATGACATTTGGAAAGACAGTGATGAGTCATACAAGACAAATGGTTACTGCCTTCTGCTTTTTTATGTATGTATATAATTAGATCTTTTCAGCACAAGAGAAAGCAGCCCTTGTCCAGCTTGTCAGGACAATAATAGAAAGGGAAAAGAAAATCTTCTTTGGCAACTTACTTCACCCTGAGAAGTGGTTTTCATGATAAGTGTCAGACATGATATTTTTTTCCTCAGAGATTTATAATACAATTTCATTGCTGTTGCCAGAAATACAGTAGAGCCATGAAACACAACTGTTGGAAGTAAGTAAAAATTCTGCAGCTATTTAAATAGGCACTGGACTGTGGCACTCCGTGGGATAAATTGCCTTTTTCCTCTGGTGGTTTTGTGCTCTCCTCCCACTCAGAACACCACGCATCACTCTGGCACTGCTGCTCTCTCCTTCCAAGGTAAGCATTTGCAACACCCCTCCCTCACATCAAACTAAACGTTATCACACAGAACCCAGAGCTTCTTGTTTCAGACCTTGATGCTGATTCATTGAGCAATTTTTGGCTAGTGATGGAGGCTGACAGAAACGTCCACCCGTTTCTGATGACTCAGCTTGAGAGTTTTGGTACCTCTTGGGCTTGAATTTCTTGAAGGGCTTTGAGAGCCCAAAGTGCCCACTGAGTTACACAATGCTGCTGCAAACCCAGCCTTTGTTCCCAGTCTGGGCACTTAGGGGGAATGTTGGCCTTACTCACTGAGTCTTGGTTTATGGCTCATTGACACACAGGGGAATTACCAAGGCTCCTTCTGGACAATGGGCTTTTGTTTGCAAAACACGGTGATCCATAGGAGAAAGTGCAGTGGTGTAAGCAGGGAAAGCAGGGTGCCCATGTTACAAACCTGACAGTCTGATAACTAGGACGTGTCCTTTTACAGGCAGAAAATTCTCATTTTGCTGAGAAGTACTACCAAATTTCTGTTGGATTATCAATCAGTTTGCAAGGACTGTGATCTGACAGCATTAGACCTTTTCCCAGGGGATAAATTGCCCAAGGTCCCCTCAAGGTCTGACACCTTCAGATTCAGATGGTGCTGCTCGCTGCCACTGAGAGAAATGATAGTCCCACAGTCTGTGCTCAGAGATTCTCATAAAATCACCCTTATCTTTGTCCTGCTCTCTGTTGTGGGTGCCCCCTCCTGCTCTTTGTTTGCATTCCCAACACCAGTAAAGACTGGGATGGGTCAGCACTGGAATGGGAGGCTTTTATTCTGTTTTCAAGTTTGGTCTTGGAAGTTTTGAAGGAAATGTCCTTTCTCCTCTCCAAGTGGAATCCATTCGGAGACACCAAATTTAAAGTGTATAAACAGGAGAGGGAACAGCTGTTTACAAGAGTGGGTAGTGATAGGACAAGGGGGAATGGTTGTAAACTGAGACAGGAGAGATTTAGGTTAGATATTAGGAGGAAGTTTTTCACACAGAGGTGGTGAAGCACTGGAACAGGTTGCCCAAGGAGGTTGTGGATGCCCCATCCCTGCAGGCATTGAAGGCCAGGCTGGATGTGGCTCTGGGCAGCCTGGTCTGGTGGTTGGCGACCCTGCACATAGCAGGGGGTTGAAACTGGATGATCACTGTGGTCCTTTTCAACCCAGGCCATTCTATGATTCTATGAAAATTGCCCCATAGGATGAAAAATGTTGGGCACTTCATAAAAACACCCAAGTACTTACAAACACTTGCTGTTATTTTCTTCTACTCTGTGTGTAATTCCACAACTGTATAAATCTTCCCTCTGCCTTTAAATAATGATTGCTGTGATTGTAAATGCCTGATGAACTCTGTTCTAGGTTCCAGCAATTGCCATCTATTTCACAGGGTATATTTTGGAAGGATTCTGATTTTTCAGCAGAACGATATAGGGCTACAAGTCATTCCATGCTCTTTACTTCAAGTGTGTAAATTAGAAACAATTGGGACAGGCAAAATGAGGAGTATGTATCCCCTCCACAGCCTTTGGAGAAGGGAGCAGAGCAGCAGTGCAGGGCGGCTGAGATGACTGCAGAGCTTCACAGCTGGCTGAATCAAGATAGACAGAAAGGCAAATGCTTACTTCTTCCTTCTGCTCTTCATGCAGTTGCCCTGCATAAACAATGCTGAACAAGGGGCCATACCTTCATATGAGGATCCTCCTGAAAAGACAAAGGAAGAGAAAACAAAACACATCTGACATTCCTCAGGGCCTATTTATCCAGTCCCATGTTATTTACAATGTAGATAGAATCTATAATCATAGAATCACAGAATCACAGACTGTCCTGGGCTGGAAAGGACCTCAAGGATCATGAAACTCCAACCCCTCTGCTGCAGGCAGGGCCACCAACCTCCACATTTAATACTGGACCAGGCTGTCCAGGGCCCCATCCAATCTGAACTTAAACACCTCCAGGGATGGGGCATCCATAACCTCTCTGGGCAGCTGTTCCAGCACCTCACCAATCTCTCTGTAAAGAACTTCCCCCTCACATCCAACCTAAATCTCCCCTCCCTCAACTTCAAACCATTTCCCCTCGTCCTGCAGTTATCTACCCTTTCAAAGAGTTGATTCCCCTCCTGTTTGTAGGCTCCCTTTAGGTACTGGAAGGCTGCAATGAGGTCACCCCGCAGCCTTCTTTTCTCCAGGGTGAACAAGCCCAGCTCCCTAAGCCTGTCTTCATCTGTCTTCTCCAGACCTCTGATCATCTTTGTGGCCCTCCTCTGGACCCTCTCCAACAGCTCCCTAAAGAGGAGGGAGGGTGGTAGATAGGTAGGTAGGCAGATAGATAGACAGTTGTGATATCCATTTTTTTCCCCCTTTCCTTTTCCTGTTTAATTTCACTGCTGGAGTTGAAAAGCATCACTTAAAGCAGACTTTATTACTTTCAAAAGGTGATTTGCTATTTCTGAAACAACAAACCCGACGTAAAACACTCCAGACTCGCTCATCCAAAACAAACAAACAAACAAACAAAAACCAAACCAAACCAAAAAAAAAACCCATTCGTTTTGCAGACGAGGGACCCGAGGGGAGGCGGCTCCGGGAGGCGGGGCGGGGCGGGGCGGCAGCACCGAGGGCTCCCGGGGGATGGGGGCCGGGTACCGCCTGCTGCCGGTAAGTGCAGCTCGGCTGGGGGCACCGGGAGACCCCCGGCACTGAGCTGGGAGTGCTGGTTATGCCTCCCCGAGCTCTTGTTGCTGGGGGTTTTCTACGCGGGTTGGGGCTTTTCGTGCTCGGGGGTGGGGGTTTTGTACCCCCAGGGATGCGCAGCTCGCCCGTGGGATTCTGACCCCCCAGGATATGGGGTTTTGAATCCCGGGGGATGGCGTTTTGCACTCCCACATCACGGGGTTTTGCATCTCGGGTGCTGGCAGCTCCAGGGTTGGGGATCTGCAGCCCCCACGGTTGGGGTTTTGCACCCCCACGACATGGGGTTTTGAATCCCAGGGGCTGAAGGTTTGCATCTTGGCTACTGGTAGCCCCGGGGTTGAGGGGTCTGTACCCCACATCTTGAAGATCTGTAGCCGCAGTGGTTGGGGCTTTGCAGCCCTGGGGTTGTGAGTTTCATCCCTGCAGGTTGGGGTTCAGACCTTGGCTTTTGGGGTTTTGCACCCCCAACACTTGTGGACCCTCCCTCGCATTCACAATGCAGGTTTAACTTTGCCCTGAGTTTTACTGCTTCCTGCCAGCTCCTCGGAGAAGTGCAGCAGACTCACTTCTGCAGCGTTTGATGCACGGCGGTGGAGCAGACGATGCTCACATGCAGCCCAGCTCCAAGCACTGAGTGGGAATGGACTGTGGTGTCCTGCATGCTGCATCCCACTGCTGCTCTATGATGCTGCTGTGATGCTTCACCCGGCTGTGGCCGTGGTCAGGTTTGAAGGTAAGGATCGTGCTTGCTGCTGGTGTGTTTCCACACCTGCTCTGCTTGCTGCTGATTTGGGGGTGGGAAGAAATCATCTTTTGTACTAAAAACGCTACTCTGCAGATGGAAAAGAGAGAGGGAGAAGTGCTGGGGAGTGCTTGCTGGTGCAGCCTCCTTTTAGGCATGCTTTACGTGCCTGAAGAGCTTTGTGGATCCCTTCCAACTCAGGATATTCTGTGGTTCACTGCTTTACAGGTGGGAGCACCGTGGGGAGGCATAGCTGCGTGTTGTCCTATGCTTTTTACTTGGTTAACAGGGTCTGGAAGCAAAGTACATCCCTTGGAAGGATGGCCCATCCTGTTTTGTCCCAGAAGTTTTAAGATTACTGCTTTTCTGTGTTAACAAGGCTCCAGGTGACTCAGGAGGAGCATTTCTTAGCGAGAAAGAAAGAAGTTGCTGGCTTCTCTGTATAACACAGTGTGCAGATGTACTTCCAGGGACTCTATGTGGGGATGCTTGAAATGCAGCCAGGAGCAGCAGGACCCTGTTGTCTGCACCCTGAGCCCAGTCCTGAAGTTTCAAGCATCCACCATCCCTTCTTTTTGCTGAGTATTTCTTGCTGGAGAAATGGCATAGATGGCCAGATGATGAGCGCCTGATTTCCAGCTGCTCAGTGTGTCTTTGTGTCATAACCAAACAATAATACGAGTGTTGCTTTGATGCTTTGTGAGCGTGGACATGTTTGTCACCTCTGTTTGAGCACTGCTGTGTCCTTCTCCTAGATGTATCCTGCATTAGAAGCAGCTTGCTGTTAGATTCTCACTAGGAAAGACCTTCTAAGCCAGCCTGTACCAGTAACTAAGGTGGTACTCGAGCATCATAGAGAGACTACAAAGACAGAGTTCTACTTGAAGTTTTAGAGCAGTGTGTGCTCACGGATCATCACCAGAGCAGCTGCGTGTAAGTAATGATCTGCTTTGTTTGTACAAATGCTTACACATACCAAAGAATCACGTGGGCACATGTGATGGGCAGATGTGACTGCTCAGCTCGTGTTTCAGTGTCACATCTAAAAACCTCGGCAGCAAACAGCGCTCCCATCTGTAATTATTCAGGTGCAAAGGAAAAACAGGAGAAAAACTTGAAATTGAGTGAAGTCTGAGTTTTCTATATCTTGGGAGCCCATCTTAATGCTATGAGGCCTGACCCGAAAAATTGCAGAAAAGCTTTTATGAGGCTCAGTGATGGAGCATTAAATGGAAGGAGAAATTTAGCTGTGAAGTGGCGGACTTCAGTGGTGATGCAAGGGAAGGAACCTGATTGCTTCCTACCTTTGTATGGGCAGCAGTGGGCTCTGAGCTGAGCGTTGCCATTCAGGAGGGAGATCTTTAGATCATGAAAAGGTCATCTGAGTGCTAAGTGCCAATCAAAAGCAGCAAACAACATTAGGAATTGCAGCGAGAAGGAATCAGAGACAAAACAGGGAACATCATTATGTCATTATATAAATCCACAGTGCTTTTACTTCTTGGAAATTGTTTGCAGGTTTGGTCTATCACAGTGTTAGAGGAGCTGCAGGGGTGTCCAGCAGCCTGAAATTACTTCTGTATGAGGAATAAGCAAGTTGTTGAGGGCACTTCATGCTGACCAAGCAGTTATAAGGGTGCTGGGGAGTGACAGACATTAAAGGGCCTATCACTGGTATATTGGGTCATGGGGACATTTATCCTGACACACTGAGGAGCTGGGAGCATCCCTGCTGTGCTAAGAAGGGAACACAAGTCTGCTACACCCAAGACCCTAAATCACTCTTGCCATAAGGTCCCTATGGGGTTACTGGCAGCTCTGGTTGTGATTCAGAGCATGGGATGGAGCTGCCCACCATCCTCTACCATGGGAGAAAAATACAATCAGAGCCTAAAAAACAAACAGGACAAATCAGGCTATGTATAAACTATGGATTATGAAAGGGCCCAGCCTGGGTTAGCAGTCTCACCTGGTCTGTGGATGGCATGTCTTGATCTCAAGAATGTATTTTGTGGCTATGGCTTGCTGCTAAGTGGGACTTAGCAGAGCTGCTTTAATTTGGGCTACAGTTGCTTGCTTGAGTTCTGTCTGCTCTCAGCACCCTTCACTTGTCCTTCACAGGAGAGCTTTTAATTGCCAGGGACAACTTCAGCCAGCACGGCACGTTGTATCAGACACTTCTGAGCTGATGACCATGGGATGGTGATGGCAGAGGCACAGCAGGGCGTGTGGATTTTTCTTGAAGCCAACAGAACGTAAATGTTTTCTGTACTTCCCTTCACCATGCATTGAAGTGTTAATATTTTCCCCTTTTTCTCTCTTTCAGCTCTTAACGGTGGGAAGATGCTGATGGACAAAAATGAGTCGTGGCTCTCTAATTTCTCTTCTACATCATCCTTTGTGAAAGGAGCTGGCAGATGGGCAGGGATCGGCCTCCAGGAGGTGGCCATCGGGCTCATACTCACCCTCATTGACTTGGTCACACTCCTGGGAAATACAGTAGTCTTTATTTGCCCAGTGGTGGAAAAGAGGCTGCGGACTGTCACCTACATGTTTATCATGTCTTTGGCCATGGCAGACTTCCTTGTAGCTTGCCTTGTCATGCCGTTCAGGTAAGAAGTGCTCTCCTAAGATCTGAATGCTGGGTCAGTGATTACAGATGCTTCTGTGCCTCAGTTTCCTGACCCAAACCTGTTGGTGAGGTTTCCTTTGTCATGAATGGAGAGTTTTCTCTTGCTGGCTATGGAGAGGCTCCAGGGTGATGGAGCCAGTCTGAATGTTGCTGAATGTTTTGGCAGCATTTGGAGGATGAGAGGTGGGGACAGTCCCTGGCATGTCCCATCATTAACTGCAATGACTGCGTGGGTGCTGCTAACGTTTCAAAGGTAGAGCAAATCAGGAGGGTATTTTCCCCTCATCTCTCCCAGTCTATTGAAATCAGCACAGTGAAATTATGTTTTATACCACTTTAACCTTCTCTTTTATCTTCTGGTAGTGGGAGGGAGAAGTAAAAATAATCCTTACATCTTTAATTGTGTAAGAGAACTGATGATTTCAGATTAATGGACTTGATAGGCTATTGCAATGGTGTTATTCTTCATATTCATAGCAAAACACTGAATTTTTATTGTTCCTTCTGGCTCAGCCAATGCAACAGTGGGGTTTGTTGGGAAGGTTGGTGACCTTTCAAGACAGATCATTTGCTTACATCAACAGACAAGAAACACTGCAGCGTTCAGCGGGAAATCAAATGTGATCCACTGCGTCCGGGGAATTGTTTTACACTTATTACCATTGCAAATTGATAACTGTCACTGTTATCAAAACAACGGCCATCTCCTCCTCACTCTGTACAAAAGTAAGGATTTTGCTTTAGTAGAAGTAGGGTAATTTATGCTCACCCTACATTTAATTAAGGAAGTGGTGGAGTCCTATCCCTGGAGGTATTAAAGATGTGTGGATGTGGCTTGAGGGACATGGTTTGGTGCTGGGACTTGGTAATCTCAAAAGATCTTTTCCAACCTGGAAGATCCTATGGTTCTATGAAACCAAAGCATCTTGCTTGTGGGCTCTGCTGTCTCATGCTGCAAAGTGGCCAGAAGTCTGTGTACAGCAGATGGCTGCACTGCATTCAGTGCTCTTGGAGCTGTATAAAGCAGCTGAAGTCTATTACGCCAGGGACTTGGTTACAGCTTAGCTGTAGGATGACCTAACCTGCTCGTACCCCATTGAAGTCACTGGAAAAGAGGCAGAGACCTCACCAGGAGATTCATTTTGCTGATGGTTCTCAGCTGCACATCCACATTGCTCTTCTGAATTGCAGTTTGCTTCTCAGTGGGCATGGCAGCACATGTCAAAGGGAAGGAAAAGAGCTGGAGCCCTTCAACAGCACTGTACTGTGCTAATGCACTCAGAGCAGTTATCGTGCTTTTAACACAACCTTTCCCAGTAGTTTTAATGAACTGCTGCTAATTAAATGCAGAGCAGGCATTGATTCCTAGCTCCTGACATCATGTTGGCTGTTTCTGCCAACCTAAGAGCCCACCTAAGGGCACTGCAGTGCTGTAGCTCCGCTTCCACTGTACTTGACCATAAAGCTGTGAAGTTAGAGGATAATTAAAGCTCTGCAGGAACAGATTGTTACTCAGCTCTCCACATCAAATCCACACAATGGTTATTTCAGCAGCACTCCAGGAGCTACAGAGAGGGGAAGCAAACTGCATCTAGCATCTAGCTGAATGCTATAGGAACATTCATCAGCTTTCCTACAGCTGCCATATGTTCCTTCCATCGCTGCTCACTTCTCATAGGCCCCTCTGACTTAGCTGGGAATGATTTTGGCATAACGCCTGCTTTTTGCTGGTGTGTTTCCTTGGTTGAGGCGTTTCTGAGCTATAGAAGGTACAAGCTGCATAGGCTTCCTCCTAGCCTCTATTCTTTTAACCCAAGAGTTGAAAAGTGGGCACCTTCCACACCCTTAGGAACTGAGGAGGATTGATAAAGGTCAGTGCTTCAAAGGGCAATGGAAGAAGCTGTGATAAACAAAGCTGCGCAGATGTAAATGCGAGGAACTCAGAACAGAGCACTTCTTACAACACAAGCAGGAAGAAGGATGGGCTTGATCTTCTTCAGCCTCGTTCTACGCGTGGGTTAATGCCTTGGATTGCACTTGGAGGGCTAATCTCTGGTGTCTAACTGATCTTAACTTTGCTGTGCTCTCCTCTTGAGCACCTCCATGTGAAAAATATTATTTCAGCGCAATCCTGAAATACATTAAATCAGCCTTTCTAGCTTTGGTTTCTACCCATTTCTCTTGCAGCATAATTTACGAGGTGACGGGGATGTGGTTGTTTGGGAAGCTGTTCTGCAAGGTCTGGATCTCCTTTGATGTCATGTTCTGCACCGCTTCCATTGTCACTCTGTGCTTTATCAGCTTGGACAGATACTGCTCTGTGGTGACCCCATCCCACTATTCCAGAAGGATGTCCCGTGGCAGGTGAGTGCAGTTGCTCCTCATTCCAGCTTCCTCCAAATTTTCACTTGGCTGCAGCCCATAACAAGTAGGGACCAAATGAGCTGTTGGCATTTTCTGCCCCAAATCAGAACTACGTGACAAAAGAAACTTTGCTCCATTTAAAGTTTTGCAGAATGTTTCTCCTGGCAAGGTTTCATGTGAAACACAGTGAGGACTGCAGGGTGGAGAAGGTTGTCTGAGGGTAATGGCTGGATGCTAATACCAAAACCAGTCAGAAAAACCTACCTGCTGTTACTTTAAATATTAATAAAAATCCTTTGTAAAACCTTTCTTTCTGTTTTTTTTTTCTTTCCTTTTTTTTCCACCTGGCTCAGGGCACCTCTTACACTGACCCCAATTCTGCAAGCCATAGATCCTAGTACTCAGTTATTAGAGTTGTTCACGTATGGACTTATTGTACTCCAGCTTTTTGTATGCTCAGTGGCTTCTCAAAGCCCTCTGGGACGATTGAACAGTGATATCCCACAAAGGTTACCATGGGGATTGAATTGTACTGGATGATCTCAACTCAAAGTAACTCAGACCCTCTCTCCCCTCCCCATCTCTTTCCTTTGGCAGATGTGTTGTGATGACCTGCACAGTCTGGGTATATTCCTCCCTTATTTCCTTCCTTCCTGTCATGAAGGGCTGGAATGAGATCCCCGGGGTGGATTTTGATGCAGGCAGAGAATGTATCTTCGTCACCAACTGGATTTTTGCCATCGTAGCATCTGCTCTTGCGTTTTTCGTCCCCTTCATGGTCATGTGCAGTATGTACTTCTTCATCTATCGAGCCTCCCGGCTCAAGGCCACTCGTATCATGTCTCAGACCCTGGAGATCCACTACCACCCTAACAGCAAGCGGCAGAACCACCTGCAGCTGGAGAACAAGGCCACACGGACCATCAGCATCATCATTTCTGTCTTTGTGCTGTGTTGGCTGCCGTATTTTGTCCTGAACGTGTGGCTTGCTGCCAGGGGCAGCAACTCCGCAAGCACAGTCCTGGTTGAAACCTTCAAGATCATCACTTGGTTAGGGTACTGCAATTCCACTATCAACCCCATGCTCTATGCTTTCCTCAACAGGGACTTCCAGCGGGCCCTGAGGAAGCTTCTCATCTGCAGGCACAGGTCTCAGGTAGACACTGGAGAGGACATGGTTTCCATAGCCACCTTCACCAAGACTGCTCCAGACTTGGACTATAGCATTACAGTGCCAGTGCCCAATGATGCCGAGAAGGGCAAGCCCAAGCAATAGGGTCCAGAACCAGTTGCTGGAGGAGGTGGTACAGAACATGGAAGAGCATGTCCTAATGGAAAAATAAATGTCTTGAAAATAAGGGGAAGAAGGGACTGGAATGTGACAGTTGGGGGCATATGGCTAAAATGCAATTATACCACAGTTCTATGAACAAGAACCAGTTTGTAAAAGCAAATGGGCAATTATTTTTTAAAAGGAGTACTTCCTAAGACAAATTCAATCTTCATGCTAGAGAAATATTTCAGCATGATAACATCAACTTGACTTTCTCTGTATACATTGTGGTCATTTCCTACAGCTTAAGTTGGAACACTCTTTCTGATCCAGCAACTATAGCTCTTACTTTGCACTTGACATTATAAATTTAACCAGTTTTAGTAGTGCACCTGTGTCATTCTGTGAACGGGAGGTGATGGGAAGGATGTGGCCAAAGAGCAAAGGCTGGTGTTCAATAAAGGCAGCACAGGGCTCAGCTGCATGCTCTCTGCAGTCTGAGCTGCAGGTTACAGGTACCCAACACCAGCAAAGTTACTTTCCCTTTAGTAACATCCACTGTGATGTCTGTGCAGCTACCCTAAGAGCTGAGCTATACAGTACTGATGGACCACACACTTGTAAAAAAAGTTGAGATACCTCATGCCTTGCTTCCTGCTGTCTGCATCTCCTTTCCCTGCAGCACTGGGCAAGTACAGGACAAGAAAGTAAACCAGTTACAGATACAAACTAGCTACCAGACTAGATGCCAATTCTAGCTGCATGAGACTGCCACCTGCAGCACACAGATGCAGGTTTTGAACAGAAGCGACTACTACTGTTTTAAATAAAAAAAGTTTATTAAATCATTTAGACTTTAAATAAGTCACAATAATTAATGCACTCAGCAATTATAAAGAGTGCATTCTGTACACCACCAACCCAAATGGATTGATTCTGTATTTTATAAATAAAAATTAACATATTTACAAAGAGAAATAAAAGCACGGCATTAGGCAGTTAAATTAGCAGATTACACAAATGCCTACCAGTTGATTTTCCTTTTTAAAGTACAAATCTACAAGATTACATACGACACGTATGACTTCATTAGGTTTAAATTGTCAGAATCACAACATTTTTGTACATAATTTTTATTATGGCTCTTCCAACCATTGCCTATAAGCCCTCTTTTAATGTCAAAAAGCTTCTTTCCCTTCCCTACAGGTTTATCTGTATAAAATGCATTCCCTAAGATCTACTACAGTGTAGAAATATGAAAAAGTTTCCTTTAAAGATTGGCTAAGGAGAGTGACAGTATGTACAGCTGTGGTAATTTTTTTGCTTTAAAAATAGTGCAGATTCCCAGTTTACCTACCAAAGACAAAAAATTGAGTCATCATTTTGTGGTTTTTCTTCTGTTTTTCTTTTCCAAAATCATCTTCATTTCACCGAAGAGCAAGTGATTCAGATATACACTCACTAGGCTTAGAGACTGTAATTTGCTCTATAAAAATACAGTATTTTAATTCTATTTACATGTTACAGATCTCTCACTTACCCAGCAAGCAGACATATACAAGCTTCAGGAAAAAAAAAAAAGGTATAAAAAAAATCTTCCAGAAATCCCAATCCCCCAAAAAGAGATAATGGAGCACACCACTGGTAAGCACAGTAGCTGAACCCACCTGCCAAGGAGAGTTAAGATAAGAAAAATGGAATGTGGGAAGTGTGACTTTCATTGGCTGTCAAGGTAAACAAAAATCTGTCCAACATCTTAAACATTAGCTATGGCAAAAGAAAGTGTAAGTAAACATTTCCAAGGTAGACATTCTGCATCATAGGATCCTTCTGATGAACAATCCCTTGAAAACCTGCTGCGTAGAAGAAGTGATCCTGAGGATAATTATTTGCTTGGTTGTCTTGAATGCTTATTTCCTGATAAACTCATTGTCCGTGACCTCTGCCTAAGCACTGGTTTGGCTGGGAGTTCCAGGTCCTCAAACACAGGATTTTCTATGATTGCAGCTGCCTCTGGTCTTTCAGTAGGACTTGGAGAGAGCATGTCCTTCACCATGATGTACTGAAAGAAAACATGAGACGTGCTACACAAACCAATTCATAAATTCATTCTTATTATTTAATGCTCTGACTTTGTGTCAGTCTAAACAATTGCCTCATTGGATTGGGAATAACTACTTTGGCACAGAAGTCAGGAGTGATTTAAATGTTGGAAAATACATCACTATAATTTATTCCTTAAATTGTTTTTACTATCAAGGACAACAATCAATTTGGCAAACCAAAACTGGCCCAAGATTCAATGGAGTTGTAAAACATTTATAAGATTTGAAATCATAAGAATTTTAAAATATATTAAGTGTAATTCATGAGTAATTTTTAGCTTCACATTTAACCACCATGTTTAAAGCAATGCAGTAATTTTTGATGGTGATGGCTTTCCTTTAATTATGAGAATAGTCTGAAGGTATATCTCAGTTACTTAACAGAACATCTTTATTAGTGAAAAACAATATCCTGTTCCAACTGAGCATAGCACATCCCATTGGCCCTGTCATTTGGCAGCTGTGAAACCAGAAAGGAAGCTCTCATTTAGCTACTGATCTGAAGCTACCATGAAAACCCAAAAGCATCTCAGCTTTTTACGGGAGGGCTTTTGTACATCACCTCCTCCTTATCTGAAAGTGCATAGCTCTAAGGATGACTAATTCAGTATATGGTTTTCTACTTGAGAGATGCAGTTCCTGGAGCTAGATCCCATGCAGCCACAATTCTACACCATGCTACCACACTGTCTCCACTTCTGCCTGTCTACAACTCTGCATGTTTTCTTTGTGACTATGGATTTACTGCAAGAACTCATGGCAAGATATATGCAACATCAAGTGGCAAAGGGAAGCTGAGTAACACTGTATAGTTACTGGAGATAAACCCTGTGACAGAAATATCAATGTCCACAATATTATAACTTTGACACACAGTAAAGTACATCATGGACGGAGAAATGTGTCTTAATAGCAAAGTTGGTAGGTTTGGTACTTTGTTAGTTTTTTTTGTTTGTTTTCTTTTTTACCTGCAAAGCAATTGGAAAGCAAAGAAAAAAGCTACAGTTATTAGCAGGAGATATACTTACCTCTTGTGCATATTTCTGAGTGAACAATGTTGGAAAGTTCAGATTTCTCACATCACTCAGGGTCTGCAGAAAAGTTAAGAAAAAGATGAAAAAGTGTTTTCCAAAACACCATTTAACACCATTACTCTTATTTTTCAACCAATGCAAACAAATCAGCCTAATGAAGAAAAGCTTTATTTTTAAGTTTTGTTTTAGAGGTTAAGATCACAACATACTTTAAATGATTAAGTTGCTTTTTCCCTAGGCATGCAGCTCAGTCGCTGTTCCTTCTGTAAAGAGCACATTGGCTCCACCTAGTGACAGTTTCTTCCCCCCACACAAAACTACAGTACTCCAAAACTTTGAGCACAAAATACATGAATTCTGAAGTTAAAACAAATTATTACATTATTACTCCACTGAAAGTACAAACTAACCAGTTAATAGTGATGGGCAACAGTCAAACCCCAGTTCATGAGAGCTGAAGTTTATTACAGTACACTGCTTTAAACAATGCTTTTCTCTACCAGGTCAGTCTGAATTTAGTGATCGGTTTTCAAACATCTAATTTGGAAATGAAGGGTACTGTCACAGAGAACTGCTAACAGCCTGTGACAGTGGCAGGTCTCATATTCCCCTTATGGGTATTCTTCAGTCCTTGGTCACAGACTCCTAGAATTTACTGGGTTCATAGATCAGGCAGAGCATTCTTTGCTTCAGCAAGCAGCAGTAAAGACTGGTCAATGAAAACATCAGTGTAACAAGCTGGAGGCAAATATTACAGAAACTAAGCTCTAGAATAGACAATAAATGGCTGGAAGTTCTTTTTGATTTTATCAAAAAGAGTTGAAAAAAAAAAATCAGGGAAAGTTAGGGCAACCTTCTTACCCTCTATCTAAGAATCAAAATTCCTGGAGTATTGGGTTAGATGTAATTTAGGATTCACTCTGATAACCTGCTTTGCCTCTATACTCAGAATAGAAACAGGAAGGGCAAAGCTTGTAATCAGTCCTGCAGGTGATCTAAAAACCAAGGAAAGTTATTAGGTATAAGTGTCAGTAAAGCTAATTTCATTTAGGGAATCTCAGATTGGTTTTAGTGCAAGTGGTTCAGATTAAGCACTGTAATTCTTCCTCTAGACTATGCTCTTATTCATTAAAACAAACAAACAAACAAAAAAAAAAACCAGAAAATGTTAAGGCAGATGAAGCAAGACCAGAATAAGCAAAGTATCTGGCCAGCCTGCACTCACAGCATTTTAACTTTTCTGCTAAGCAACCTATCTTCACATGAGCATTTCAAAGCACTAAACATACTGCTTTGATAAATACAGGTTGTGACAACTCTCATTCCTATGTAGATCATTGGTCATTATGTACAAGAGAAAAGCCTTTCTGGCTGTAGCCCTTGCTTTCCTCTATGATTTTTTTCCTGATTTCATGCATCTTAACAAGAAGATACATCAAGACTTCAAATTCACACTGGATTCAATGAAAGTCACATATTACAAGGAACATGGTGCTTTACACTGAGAGGGACTTATTGCTAAGATTTTATTATTAGAAAATGAACAATTTTTCACTTTTTTCATTAGAGAAATGCACTGGAAATGCAAAAAGAAGAAATAGTGAAAATGCACAGCATGGCTCCAATTCTGGAATGAAGAATGAATCACAGTTTTGCAGGCTTGCAGTTGCAACACTTATTTTTTGCTTAAGATTTTGGATATCTCAGTTCAGTAGTTCCTCTTACTTGGCACCACAACAGAGAAACTTTGTAAAGAAACTGCAGCCTCAAATCAGCTGCACACATAAGGAAGGCTGCAATTCATTTTCAGTGATTCAGGGAATCTGGACAAGGCTGATAAAGATTCCATGTTGCTAATTCCAACACTTTTTTAAAGCTGAGAAGAGCCTCTTGCAAGTGTCTTATGAAACAAACAATTCCTTTAAAGAAGTGATCAAATGGAGGCTAACCCTTGGTGCTGCACCATACCTACCTTGACTCTCTCCATCTGTGTGCTGAAAGGGTAAAGCAGCTCGAAGAGAATCAGTCCCAAAGAAAATATATCCACTTTGTGAGAATAGGTGTTCCCACAGATCTGAAAATTCAGAATTCAGGTTAGGTCAGCCAGTCTAGTCACTGGAATTACATACAGTGTAATCAAACAACTTCCCACACATGAAAGTGATTAGCTCTGTGCAGGCAGAAAAGCACAGAACAGGTGCTAACTGTAACAGCCTTCTGACACACCAAACTTCAGCAAGTGAGTAAACAAGCTCTTATCATCAGCTCCCATTTAAAGACCCAACCACAACATTTCAACTTAAACCTCCAGTACAATATCAATTCTTTATTAACTTGAATATTATACAGCCTAATACATTAAGAGCAAGACAAATCAATGCACCAAAGTACAAGTCATCAATCCCTTTTTTGTGGTTTTTTTTTGCTATTTTATGTTTAAAATATTTATTTTGAAATTCAGTTTAGCTCAAAACTCTACTTTGATGAGAAATTATGTAAACCTGATTCTAACAGTTTACTAGAAAGACTACTTGATTCTTGAACTCCCAGGAATTCAAGTGTCTTCAAGGTGGTGATGGAAA